CGAAGCAACAACTGCAAGCCATCATGGCGGACCGCCGTTTTTCGGACGACACAGCAACAGCAGACAGCATCGTCAACGTTGGCAACAGCGACTTTCCATGTCATCGTCAACGTCGGCCATGACTCACACACAACCCTAGCTGAATTTCTACGGTGAGGGGCACTCGTGGTGCAGACGCAGCAGCCCTCGCGTGCCTCTGCAAGGGTACTTTGGAAAGTGCTCCAAACAGGGTTGTCAAAAAGTTGGAACGAAGTGGAGCAAAGTTTTCGCGCCCAACATCGTTCCAAATATTTTTGAAAAAAATGGACAAACGCCTACATACAGGTTCCATTTTTTGACACTTTCAAAAATTTTGACAAAAAGTCGGTCCGTTTAAAACGACAGCCCAAAAAGAGACATCGTAACAACTGGCCTAATATATGGACGAAATAATTTGGAAATAGAAAGGGGAAGGAGGACGAAGAAGTCTGACTGGCCGCACACATACATACGTTGCGAGCAGCGCCCGCGGAGTTGCGCGCAGCCAGCACGAGCAAATAGGGTATGTGCCGTGGCCGGGGCCGGGGATAGAGTACCAGGTGCACCCCGAACGGTTTGAAGGGGGAAGGCCTACACCCACCATGGACTTAGCCTGCACGTATTCGCAACGGACACATCGCAATCACCCACAAACTAGAGAAAAAGGCTGGTTCGTAGCTGCTGCATCAACACAGCACCCCGTACACGATGGCTGTCTTCTCGCTCTCTCTCTCTCTCTCTCTCTCTCTCTGGTACCACGAATGTCTCACCCCGAGCGATGGGTAATCTAACAGTAGTGTCCTACCCGTTTGATCAGTGCCCTTCCGGTGCCTTTCAGTAGGCAACACAACATTAGAAACACGCAGGATCGGATGCGATCCGGCAAACGCGGCTGAATGCATGTTGCTGAAGATACAAAATGCACATCAACAGCACATACATCATGCAACGTCTAGCACTGCCGTCAGGTCATAAACGAGCCTTTGCCGCCATTGAGGACGTAGTCCTATCCCTTGCAAGGGCTTAGGCACAAGCGCGCGGCGAAAGATTGCGCATGGCCCTCTGCTAAGCACGCCAGAACAGGTGTCACCCAGTGGAAAAAATCAGTATGTATTTTTTACAAAAGCCACGCTGGACCGCTGTCCATACTAAATTAAGGAGAAATAAATACACGCACAGAAAGACTACCCATTCGAGATATACCCACAGTCAAACGGGATGTGGTGGAGTCTTTTCAGTAAGTGGAGTTAGACTAGGGTGAGAGATAGATGGAGAGGGAGATTGTACTGAAAAAGTCCCGCATGCCTTNTATACCCACAGTCAAACGGGATGTGGTGGAGTCTTTTCAGTAAGTGGAGTTAGACTAGGGTGAGAGATAGATGGAGAGGGAGATTGTACTGAAAAAGTCCCGCATGCCTTCAACGCCGATAGCGATGTCGATA